TAATAAAGCAGATTTCTTTTATATCATTAAAATTAAATTCTTATTGAAATTACTAAAGATAAAATAAGGAGTTTTGATTTGACAAAAACAATCTGAAGTCTTCAGTTTACATAAAAAACGATACCAGTCCAAATTTCACGTAATGTAATTATCGACCTTGGCGTGAAAAACAAAATAAAGTTGAGAAAGTTTTTGTATGGAACACGCTTCGCTTTCATTAATTATATTAGTACAATTTAGCAGCGCTAACGCCATTAATTATCATTAACGCCCGGTTTCTGAAACACTGATTATCGTAGAAGTTAACTAATCAGCTGTCAAATGGCTTTTCAAATGTCATTTAAGTTTCGGAGCCCAATTTTTAAAAGGTTGTCCGCATCTCCAACCCTTGGATGTAGCAGACGTCCATGGGCGGCGGTATTGACTTATCATCAGGCGAACCGCCTGATGCTTTCAGCAAGTTTTCAGATTAAAAACAAAAATTGGCCAAAGGATGGTAAACTCTCTGAATTGATCAGAATGATCTTTTTAATGTTCAGAATGAACTTTAATGAATTTAATGAACGAAACTTGTACGATGCTCAGTATTTTAGAAACCGGGCGTATATGTATAGTAAGAGAGTAATTGCGGCGATAGTTACTTTATATGGTCAAAATGAAACTAGCAAATTAATTAAAAACCTTCATTTTCTTTCATTTGCACCACTTTAAAGAGTCTCCACTTATATTTTTAACAGAAAATCTTTAAATAATCCATTTTATTGATTGTGTTAATGAATATTTGTTGAGCAATTGGCTTAATGACTGAAAAGCGATAGGTTCAGAACTTGTCGTTTATCAGAAAGTGTCAGGAAAAGAAAAAAAGACATTGGATCACTTTCAATTTAGATGAACAGAGAGCTAGCTAACTGTCATGCAAATCACAACTTCGTCATAAAAAGGTTTCTTCAAATTCATTCTTAAAACATTCACATTTAATATCATTCTTAAAACGTGCCTCTGTAGGTTGATACATAAAAATGGTATTTGAAAATTTAACTATTTATGGCCCAAAGTTAGATTTATTATAAATGATAAATTATGAGTAATGGAATTTATTTAAACGCTTTTAGGTAATTAATCCTTAAGGGAATGACAAACGAGATATGAGATGGCGTTGTTACAAATTTATTAGTATTTATAAGGTAGTGAAATTATTTTCATCGGGCATTGATGATCATTGAATATTCATGAAATATGATATTATCGATTACTTAATTTAATAATTTTCATCACGTGAATATATACCATTTGATTTCGAAACGATTCACGCAAGCCAAGCCGCGGGGTGCGGATATACATATTCCCTCCTCCGCAGTATATTTTCCGCATCGACGCAAACTTGAGCCCCCTCCGCTTACATCAATCGCAATTTATTTCATTTTCATTCATTTGCCCGGATCCGACTGTGGAGATTTCGTTTGAATCGCATTCGAAAGTATTCCGTTTTATAAACGATTTGTATTATTATATGTTGGCCGACGAAAAATATAACATATATTAGTACGCGGCTTTGTAGACACTGAAAAGAAATTTTTATTCGGCATTTAACTGTGTATAAGGAATTTTTAATGAGGGCGTAGCGAACTAGAAAGTATCGGAAGGAATTACGTCTTAAATGTGTAATTTGAGTAGCGAGTGAACTTAAAATTGATCGTACAATATTGTTATTTGTTAACAACTTACTTGTACATGTTTTAAACGAATATCCTATTTATTACCCAATCCAAGCTTCCCAAGACTGGGAACTATAATATATAAAAAAAAAACAATCATCGATACTCTGTGCGTAGCGTTCGGACGCGGGAGTTCTGGTCGTGACTTTAAATCGTGTAGTTTTATAATTAAGTTAACGATAAATTGATAGGAATCATTTTGTTACAAGTATTTGATTTTTGTAAAATACATTTCGGATAGATTTGCGTGATTTCTTTTAAAAAGTAAAATTCACTTTAGTTCCTTGACACGTTATATTCTTAATGTTATCGCTAGCAACACTAAGAATCGGATATGACGTCAGAATAAGAGCGATTGGGCATATTACATTGTTGCGAAATTCACTTCGATATCAACTACTTTCTTGGACGGTAAACTCAACTGCCCGTATTGTTGAATGGAGTCGTTTTCACTATTATATGTATTCATTAATTAATAATTTTATATGCAGCAAAATTTAAATTTAACCGTAGTGAAACTTGTATAAGATTCAGCTCTGTCACCGTGTTTCTTGTTGTTATTATCGGTTATTTAGAAGATACCATGATTGTTTAGGGAAGACTACTATGAAAGCCGCACTAACCCAGTGCGGCTTTCACTAACCACAAATGTCTTACTAATATTCGCTACTAATATACGTCTTATTGATTCAATATAAATGTTATTGTATGGCCATCAGAATATATAATAAATTACCAAATAGATTAAAAACTGTAAATTTAAATTTGTTTAAGCGAAATCTGTTTAACTTTCTGATAAGTAAATGCTACTATTCCAAAATTTATAAAAACACTTTCCTAAATATATTTTCTTTTGTTTTGTATTTAATGTAAAATTTTATATTTGTACACCAGAAATGGTAGAACATAAGGGGCGATACAACTCTTAAGACCTATATTGTAACATTTCCTAACAAATAAACGTATCTTTCTTCCTTTCAATACTACTCTTACAAATACTTATCGGCGTAACAACAGATAGTTCTGCCCAATGAATTATAGCGTGACAAGGAATTGGCGTTAGTAATAAAAATAATACACAGTAAATTTTTGACGCAGGCGCTAGACAGCACTATGGGGAGTACTTGCGGTTATCTAAGGGTCGATTAATGTCATATGTATTTTATCGCGAGCTTTAGAACGTTCTAAACGCTTTCAATACGATAGTAATTCCCTATAGGCGTAAAAAGTACGTATCTTCGAATATTCTTGACATATGCTATGATTATATTCTCTATGTATTGTTACGATGGACACCAAGTATTTATTTCAATTATTTGGACGGAAAATATTATTACTTAAAATCATTAAACATTAAAAAGTGTAGAAAAAGTACGAAAAGATTGTCCCCGCTGTGGGAATCCAACCCACGTCTTCGGCATTCGCGGCCTGACGCTTTAGCCACTAAGCTAAACGGCTGATTGCCACACCGACGAAAATCTTAACGTCTTTTATCTACATTTTTATTTAGCATTTGAAGCAATGCTTCTTTTATTACTTAATTACTTAAAATACTTTTCAGCTTTTATTATAAATCCATTGGGAAAATTATTCCATCGAAGTCACAGATACAAGCTATTTGTTTTACTACGTGTAAGCCTACACTTAATTCGGTAACGCGAAAATGATTCTACATCAGAGATATTTCAGTCGGCAATTAAGTGTAAAATCGTGAGATTGCATACTTATATTATATTGAGTTAAGCTTTCCTTTTGTACATTACTTCTTTTTAAACATTTTTTTTGTATCCTGTGTTTTGCGTACAATAAATACATAAATAAATAAATAAAAAATAAATAGCAAGACAACTATTCAAGCTCTTCGTATAGACCTCTTTGTGGAAATATTTTTTATTACTTAGCCTTACTTTAAATGGACAAACTTGATAAATATGAAGGAAGTTAACTATCAACTGTAAATTATTTATTAATTATTTAATTAATCAAACTTTTAACGTACTTTTTAAATACACCTTAATCGTATTTGCGTTTTTATGAAATAAAAAAGTAACAGCCTTTACATATCCCACTGATGGGCAAAGGCATCCTCTTTTACAAAGGATATCAGGGCATAGTCCACCACGCGGATCCACTACGTTTTCACATATCTTTGAAATATTTTTTTTGTTATTATGAAGGCTTAGGCTGAAAATATGCAGGTTTCCTCACATAACAACAATAAAAGTAAGTAACATAAGCAACAATTAAGTAAACATAAATATTGGTTTAATGGTTGTATACTTAATGATGACTCCGTGGCACAGTTGCCAAGGTGTTAGCTTCGGCGTCGGGCGTCGGGGTCGTGGGTTCGATTCCAAAACAACTAACTGTGTGACCCGCAGATAGTTGTTTCGTTCGTTTGGCCGCGTGAATCTTATGTTTGTAAAACTTCCTTACAACACAGGATAATGTTATCCTAAGGTGAGGACAATGTTTAAAAAAAATAAGTCGCACACTGTGTTATAAGGGTTAAATTTAAATTGAAATGGCCTAATACGCGAACCATTGTACGTGATTTCAGTAGTTTCTTGCCAGTTCTTCCAAGCAGAAAATGTATAGAAGATGGACTATAAAATCATAAGAACCTGAAATGTCGGTGATGAATAATGTATTTTTATTTTCTTATTGTTTTGGACACAGTAGTTCCCTTAGTAAATTTGAAGTTACAACAAAGAAGATTACAACTTAATACATTTGTGACTTTATAATAGCAGTGGGATAAATAAGTGAAACTTGGTAAATTTATCTATAATTATTTTACTGCATAAAGGATGATATTACACATGATTAAACTGGTTTTTAGTAGAAATGTTAGGTCAAAACGATCAATATTTTCTATATGTAAAAATTACTATTTTACTCTATACTAACACGGTAGTAAAAAACAAAACATGTAGTACAACAAGTACAGGACAAGTGATAGCCTAGATATGCAGTCCAAATTACAACAAAAATTAAGGTGAACTATTTCTAAAGATGAAACTTAATTTATATACATCGATTTTACATTGATTTTAAGTTGAGCGGATATTGCAGTCGTTAAAAAAAAACGTAATTTCCGTTCCCAAACTCTGACTCTCCGCCGTAAATATCGGACATTCGGAACCTCGAACGCACACCGGTCATCGTGCGAAGTTCCGTCGAGAAATAAGACGCGGACGGGGAACTTTGCGATGTTTACAGTGCGGCCGGGCGTTTATTTTTAACGCCTAAAGGGGACGCGGACGCGGCGGCGTTGCCGATTTACGGAGCCCTCGTGAGCTCGCCACCCGAGCGTGATTCACGAAGCTCCCCCTTCGAAAGCGGGTCGGCAGAGGCCGGCCGACGGCGCGTCGATTGCCAAACGACGGAGAAAACAAAGCGGAGTCTCGCGTTTAATTTTAAACGGGAAGGTGAACGCACGAGGCACTGACCTCCTTTATGCGTGGTGTTGAACGTGCGCAGCCTGTAGGAGTCCTCGTCGGGCTCCTCTTCCGGCTGGTGGGTGGTGCGGGGCACGTCGAGGAAGGCGTTGGAGCGGCGCGGCTGCTGCCCTGGTGGGGGGCGGCGGCGCGCTGAGGCCTGCCTCCTCACTTGCGGCGGGGTCTCCGCCTCGGCCAGCCGCGGCTCGGAGCTGTACCGGGCCCTGGTCTCCTTGTCCAGCTGCTGCTGCCGCCGGTGCCTGACGGAGCGGCCGCCAGTGATCCTCGCCGACTGGGAGCGCGTGGCGGGCCGACGGCGCGGCGCCGGCGTCGTCTCCATCGGCGCCGCCAACGCCTCCATGCTCGCGGAGGCGGGCGCGCATATCGACTGCGAGCGCTTCGTACGTCCCTCCGTGGCCATGGTCGCGGCGATACTGACGGCGGACGCTTTCAGGCGCTGAAACGCCCCCTACCCCCCCTGGTTACTTGTTGCATTCCCCGCGGGAACGGTCTTTGGTAGCGAATTCGTGTGCTTTGTGGACGCTTGATGCTCCTCGGTAGATGAGTGGCATTTTGTTTTAATTGACTGCTACTACTCGTAAAAACACAGCGTCAAATCGATTGGAATATTTGTTGAAATCTTTTGTGGTATATAAGCTGTATGAAATTTGTAAACCAATTGCGTTTTGCCTAAACATTAAACTAAAATTGCTTACGCATAACTGGTATCAGAATAATCTCAAATCTTTAAGCAGACTTCAGGACTAAAAATCAAAGTATCTATATATAGGCTATCTATATCGAGATCATAATAGTTAAATCAATTTATACTTACAATAAAAAATAATGAATGAATGAATGAAATATACTTTATTGTACACAACCAACGGATATTGAAGAATCAACTAAAATAATACAAAACTGTACAATAGGCGGCCTTATCGCTAGGAAGCGATTTCTTCCAGGCAACCTAGTAAAAGGAAATAGTAAAAACAGTAGCATTGGGTAACGGTGTACACTGAATTAATAAGAGAAACTTATAAGTCAAAATATAAATACATATTAATAAATTATACATAAATACACATGCAAACACGATATATAAATATATACGTTATAAATAATGTATAAGTATTTAGATATAAGTTGACAACATCGAGGAATGGAACACAATGATTAAGGAGGCATAAAATGTTTTCTTAAAAGTCGCTTGAAAATAGGTAGGGATTGTGCCCGCCTAATATGTAGTGGGAGAGAGTTCCAGAGCCGAACAGCTTCCACAGAAAAGGATTTGGAGTAGAAAGATGTACTATGGGGAGGAATTCTGAGGATTAAATTGTCATCGGAGCGGAGAGATCGATCTGGGTGAGAATCACAAAGATACTCAAATCGCTTCTTAAGATAAGGAGGGGTGGTTGGATTGAATAGAACAGAGTATAAGAGCGAAAGAAGGTGAGTATTCCTGCGAAGGCGGATTGGAAGCCACTTGAGCTTATTTCGGAATTCAGAAATGTGGTCATATTTACGAAGTCCAAATATGAACCGTATGCAAAGATTTTGGATGCGCTCAAGTTTATTAAGTTGTTCAACGCTTAAGTCTAAGTAACATGTATCGGCATAATCTAGAATTGGTAAGAGGAGAGATTCCGCGAGCGCAATTTTGGTAGGTATAGGTAAGAAGTAACTCAATCTACGAAGAGAATTAACTGCTGCAAACATCCTTCTACTCACTTCACTAACCTGAGGAACCCAAGAGAGAAATTTATCAAACACAACACCTAGATTTTTAACCGTATCGCTATATTGCAATTGGACCCCGTCAAAAACTATACAAGGAAGATTAGCCCAGTCAATACGTGAAACCAATCTTTGGCTGCCTATAATAATAGCTTGTGTTTTAGATGGATTTACCTTCAGTCCATAAGAATTGCTCCATTCTACAATGGTGTTTAGGTCTTTATTAACTGCATCTATTGTCATGGTTAAATCTGGTAATTTGGATTGAGCGTAGACTTGGAGATCATCAGCATACAGATGGTAGAGAGAAGTTAAATGTTGAGTGATTGAACTAATGAAGATTGAGAATAGGAGAGGAGACAACACGCCACCTTGCGGTACCCCGGCATTTATCGGACTCCAGTCCGAATACTTCTCCTCGATCTTAATCCGTTGCCGGCGCCCGTGCAAGTAACTGTGAAACCAGTCAACGACCTTAGGAGATATGTTTAGAGAAGTGAGAATGGCTAAAAGTAGCTCATAATCAACATTATTGAAAGCGTTGCTGAAATCTAGTAAAGTCAATACTGTTACACACTGGTTATCCATACCGAACCGGATATCATCAGTAATTTTTACTAATGCAGTAGTCGTACTATGACCAGAACGGAAACCGGATTGAAACGGATTTAAAAGGTTGGATTTGGAAAGAAATACAGTCAATTGTTTATGAACAATGCGTTCAAAAACTTTTGATAGAAATGGTAAAATGGAAATAGGCCGATAATCAGAGAAACTGGAAGGATTCGTTTTTTTAGGAAGAGGAATTATCTGTGCATCCTTCCAGGAAGTAGGGAAGCAACCGCTATTGATGGAATGATTAAAGATGGACACAATGACAGGAGTTAGAAAATCGAGAAGAGGAGTGATCATTTTACGACTAATGCAGTCAGAACCAACAGCATCAGAGCTAGCTTCCATAATACTTCTCTTAACATCACTGCAGTCGATTTGACTAAATACGAAAGCGGGATCATCAGGGGTGGGTAAAGCTAAAATTTTATTTTTAGTATTCTGTTTTAAGGTACTATCAATAGTACAAAATGAGGAAAAATGCTGATTGAGCTTATTTAAATCGAAGGTACTATAATTTGAGGGACAATTTCTATTTGCTTTCCCAACCCCAAGGGATTTCAGAAATTTCCATACTCTTCCGGAATCTTTTTCCTCGAGTACAGATTTATGGATATGGCGTCGTTGTTCATCTCTACACAATCTGTTGCATCGATTCCGAATGCTTGTGTATTTAATGCGGTTGGTTTCACTGGCGTTGGTTTTATATTTAGCTTTGGCTATATTCTTTTTGTGTTGTAGCGTTTTTATATCCTCAGTTAGCCAAGGAGCAGGAAGATGTTTAATTCTTACTGGGCGTATTGGAGCGTGGGTATCATAAAGCTTCATTAAAAGAGAGTTAAAAATTTCAACCCGTTCATCAGTATTGTCCCCAGTAAGGACTTCAGCCCAGTCAATCTGAGATGCATCCTCTCGCAGAAGATCAAGGTTCATACCACCAAAATTACGTTGGAGAAGAATTCTAGATTTAGCTTTGGGTGGGCGTATTTTATAGGATAAATATAGCAAATCATGGTAAGAAAAGGCATCTGCAGGACATTGGCCATGTTTCAATACAAAGTCTACTGAGGAAACTAGAATAAGATCAAGGAGAGATGGAGAACAATTTGGGAAGTTGTGCGTTGCCGATAGAGGAAGAATATGTAGATTTGCTGCCTTGACTAAAGAATTGAGACGGAATGCATGAGAGTCATTTTTTAACAGGCAAGTATTAAAATCACCCATAATAATCGAGTGCTCATATTGTGGGATAAACATGTCTAACAGATTTTCGAGTCCTGTAAAATAATCTATTGTGAGACTAGGGTTATAATACACACCGAGCAGTAATTTCAGGTTGGATAACATAACCTCGATAAATAAATGCTCCGCCCCTGGTATAGCCTGTTCTTGCGATACACTGATCAAGTTAAAAGGTATGTGGGATCGAAGATAAATGCCAACACCTCCGCCAACCCTACTGTTCCGATCATTTCGTATGAGGTGAAAGCCAGGAAGAGCATAAGATGTGGAGGATAAACAAGGTTTTAACCATGTTTCGGAGATTAGAATAGCATGGATGTTCTTGTTATCAAAAGACGAAAGCATATCTGGAAAATGTGCAGGAATACTCTGAGCATTAATATGAACAACATTAAAATTTTTCAGAACATCTGAGAAATGTAAATCAAGGGTTTCAGAAAGAGAAGGGAGACTATGGAAACTGCCGTTACTACTCAATCCATCAGTGGAGGAAAATGAGAAAAAGGAGTCGTCCGAGCTTATATCTTTAAATAACATGAATATATAAACATAAACAAATAATATACTATAACAATAAAATTACCTATATAAACTACTACGCAAATTTGTAAGCTTTTATACCTACCAACAAGTTTTTTAGTTTTTACACATTCAATCGAAGTATACACATTGCCAGCAAAGAAAAATAAAATTCAAGGTCATCATAACACGATTAGAAAAAATATATAGAAAAAAAAATCCTAATAAACTTCACTATAACATACATATGTATAGTGAAAGATAATATTTTACAACGAACCTATGATAATGAATAGGATGAATGAAGAAATCCCAATCCAATATAATAATAGGCTGTATGGAGAAGTCCCAATCCGTTAGAATATAATAATATAAAATGTCATATCAAGTTGACAATTGACATTGCTTTAAAATTAAAAGTACTTAACCTTAAAACTAAAACAATACATTACAATAAAATATAACAAAAAGAAGTTAAACAGTGCAATGATCATAATGAGAAGAATGTTTTAAGTAAAGGACAAATTCACATTACCGCAATAAACTACTTCTTAATTACTCGCTTGGGGCGCATAACAATAGTCTTAGTATTTGGGCTCTTAGAACAAGATTCTAATATCTGTACTGGTGAATTCGCTGCAAGAGGCTTAGACGAAGACGATGCAACATTTATAACTTCAAGCTCGTTTAAAGATTCTACTCGATGGCGAACTCCATCCGAGCTAATTACGTATATGCATCCATCTCGAGTCCAGCAATTTGTCACGCCAAAACGCTTCCGAGCCTCAAGAAATACACTGTGTCGAGGCTGCGTTAGGAACTCCGACTGTGTGATGCCAGTACCCTTAAACTTAGTTTTCGCGAACCACACTTTGTCACGGACAGAAACTTCGGCGAACTTTACAACTACCGGCCTAGCTCTGCTTTCCGATGTGCGGCCAAGGCGATAGCTGGACTTGATGCTGGTACTTGAAAAATTAGGCAGATTCAGATGTTCAGCAACAGCTGTGGTTACACGACCGATAAGGTCTTCTGATTTCACCTCGGGAATTCCATGGAAGAGCAAGATCTTACGCCTCCTTCGCATCTCCTGACGATCCATTTCCAGTCTAAGAAACTCCATTTGTTGCTGCAGGGTGTTTAATGCGGTTACAATAAAAGTTTTGAAGGACACAAAATCAGATGCTATCGATGAAGTTGTTGCAGATGTCTTGCTAGCAGAGTTCTTTTCCAAATCACGCTGAAATTCGTCCATTTTTGCATAGAACATCTCAGACATTGCAGAAAATGACTGTTTTAGTGAATCCATGC